GCGGGGGGGGGCCGTGGGTCGGTGTCCTGCCGTGCCTGCCCCGCCCCTTAGCTGTGCCCACTTCTCTCCCACAGAGTCCGTGCCGATGGCCGTCATCATCGGGGTGGCCGTGGGAGCCGGCGTGGCCTTCCTCGTCCTCATGGCAACCATCGTGGCCTTCTGCTGTGCCCGGTCCCAGAGAAGTACGGGAGGGAGCCCGGGCAGCCAGGGAGGGGCAGAGAGGAAGCCCAGGCTTAGGCGCCCCGACAGCGCGCGGCCTGGCCCTCTGCACTGAGCCTGGCGGGCAGGGCTGAGCGCCGTTCTCCGCGGGCATCTGGCACGGCGTCCGGCACACAGCAGGCACTCACTGGGCCAGGCTGAGTCGGCCGGCAGGCTCTCAGCGGGGACCGAGCTCACTCTCTGAGAGCTGCGGGTCTAGCCACACAGCCGCGCCCACACGGAGGAAGCACTGCAGGACCCACTGTCCACCCTCAGGCCTTCGTCACGGCCACAGCCTGAGTCCTCACACTCAGGCCTCATGTGCCCAGCGTGCCTGCCTTGCCCGGCCTGCAGTCACGGCCCACAGACAAGCACACACGTGTCCTGGGGAGGGCCTGGCGGTGAAGATGCAGCGCCCACAGTTGTAGCGGGAGGCCTGTCTCTCCTCTCAGACAAGCGCTCGCGCCCCTGGTTTGGGCCTGCCACTCCCCCGTTCCCTGCCCACGCATGTCAGGGTAGGCTGTGAGCCCCTCCGCCATCTCCTCTGTGAGCAGAGCAGCCCCTCAGGCCTCGCCCACAGTTGTGGGCGCAGACCCTCCTTCCCCCCTTGCGGCAGGCGTCGTGGGAGGCACATTTTAGCAGAAATTTTCTAGCCGGTCTCTCCCACTTAAGCAGCAGGCTCCTCTGGGACTGGGGAGACTGGTGCACCAACATGCGAACACGGTGTGCGTGTGCACGCGGTGTGTGTCTATGTACGTGTGTGTAGTCTGCGTGTGTGCATGTGCACATGGTATGTGTGGTGTGTGCATGTGCACATGGTATGTGTGGTGTGTGCATGTGTGTGGTATGTACACTGTGTGTACACATGTGTGTGCATGCATGTGCGGTGTGTGCATGGTATGTGTATCTGGTGTGTGTGTGCCTATATGTGTGGCATGTGCAGGTGTGTGGTGTATGGTGTGTATACATATGTGCATGTATGCATGTGTGGTGTGCATATATGTGTGGTGTGTCATGTGTATGCATATGTGCATGCATACGTGTGTGGTATGTGCATGTGTGTGGCCTGTGTGCATGTGCACATGGTGTGTGTGTCTGGAGTGTATGCATGCATGTGAGCATGTGTGCTGGGTGCCTGTATGGTGCGTATGCATGTGTGCATGCATACGTTTGTGCATGTGGTATGTGGTGTGTGCATGTGTGTGATGTGTGTATGCATATGTGCATGCATATGTGTGTGGCATGTGTGTGGCATGTGTGTGGTGTGTGTATGTGCACATGGTGTGTGTATGCAATGTGTGCATGTGTATAGTATGCATACGTGTGCATGTGTGTGGTACATGCACGTGTGCATGTGTGTGGCATGTGCATGTGTATACATGTGGTGTGTATATTGTGTTTGCATGTGTACATGTATTTTTTTAGAGGTTTTTCGCTATAGGGCACGTGCGCTCGCCAGACAGACAGAGACAGAGAGACAGAAAGCGAGAAATCACCCCCCGGGGGATGTCCACGCTGCAGTCCCTTCTCCTCCATTCTCCTCTTGGGATCTTGGGCACACACGCACACACGCCCGGCGTGAGTTTTAAGCCACCGGGTCCGGGACACGAACCGCGGTCGACTACGTGGGAGTCCAGCGACACAGCCATTACACTAACTGCTGGTTCCCTGCATGTGTACATGTATTTGAAGTGTGTATATGCATGTATGTGTGTGGTGTGTGCACATGTGTGTGGCATGTATTGCTGTGTGCATGTAAGTGTGCATTGTGGTGTGTGCATGTGTGTGTGGTGTTTTCACACATGTGTGTGCCTATGTATGTGGGGTTGTGTGCACACATGCACGTGTGTGTCTTTGCTCTGGGCGGGAGGGTGGCTGTGGGTTCATTACAGTCCTTGACACGGACGTGAACGAGACAGCTCAGAGCCTGCCGGGAGGGTGAGGACTCCCCAGTCAGGAGGACTTAGCTCAGGGACGGGACAGCTGAGGAGCCCCTGGCCCAGGGCAACTGGCTGGGCACGTGCAGCAAGGGGCGTGCTGGGCCCAGATAGCCTGCCGCGTGTCCACCGCGTGTCCTGGTGGTGGGAGCTGCAGGGCTGCGGGGAGCCCCGTCAGGGCAGGGCCCAACTGAGCCGTCTGCCCCTTCCTGCTCCCTGCCCAGATCTGAAAGGTGTCGTGTCGGCCAAGAATGACATTCGAGTAGAGATCGTGCACAAGGAGCCCGCGTCCGGACGGGGGGCTGAAGAGCACCCCGCTATGAAGCAGCTGACGGTGAGAGTGCCCCTTCCCACCCCACCATGACCTGTCCTCACGGCCCTGGAAGCTCCCAGGAAGCAAAAGACCGCCCGGACCACCCGGCCCCGGCCCTGGTAGCCAGTTTCTGTCTCAGCAGCAGGCGTGGTCCGGGTGCCTGTGTGTCCCAGCCTCAGGGAACCCGGCTGCTGAGCGGGGGAGAAGACACCCATGAAACTGCCACCACGCATGGCCAGGAGCCCAAAGAGACCATGGCACTCCATGTCTCCTCCTGAGGAAGCATCTGCAGGAAGCACGGCTCTCCCTGGGGAACAGCTGTGCATCCCACCTGCAGCCGCTCCTGCCCGCCCCGCCCCTCTGCACCCAAGACCTGAGGAGCCACGCGAGCTCCAGGGCACACTGCCCCAGGGCTGCTGCGCCGCCACGGCCACGCACCCCGTGCCTCAGCATCCCGTGGGTGAAGTGGGTGTGCACGCACGTGGGCTGCGGTGAGGTCGCACGGGCGAGCCCCAGGAGAGCGAGAAAACGGGGACACAGCAGACACGCTGCTCTCAGCCACCCAGGGCGCTGACTGACACGCCCGCCGTCCGCTGGGTGTCGGGCCGACGGCAAGCCTGTCCCGCAGCTGCTCCCCTCTGTCCCGCCGAGGTCAGGTCCTGTCAATTCCTCCCGGACCCCGCCTCCCCCATCTCTTCCTGCGTCGTCGGCCCCCACGCTGGGTCTTCGTCTATTTTACCAACTTCCGGCTGAGCCTCTTCCCCCACGGGACGCATGTGCAGCATGCGGAGCTGCCCTGCAGCCGCACGGCACCGTGCTGGGCACGCGTGGTCCACTGCCAGCATGCGGGGCTCCCGGGCCAGGAGCCGACGGGGTCCCTAACTCCTAGTCCATCTCCCAAATAAGCAGAATGGCTGCTTTCTGGATTTTTTAGGTTGATTTATTTCTTCCATGAGAGAGACTAGAGAGGTGGAGAGACAGAGACAGCACCCCGATGGGTCCCGATGCTGCTCCAGCCCAGCCCCAGCCAGCCCTGGACCTTGGGCACCTTGCGTACCCAGCACACACAGAGGTCCCCAGGCCTGAACCTGTGCTCAGACCCATAGCAAGTCCTCATCTGTGCTCGATCTGAGCACAGTCCTGCCCGAACTTTACAGCGGGGGCTCGGCGGACTGAACTAGTCACGCGAGAGCCCTGGGGCCCAAGTGGAGCCCCCACCCTGCCGACCCTACCCGAGTCCCAGCCACGCCTTCCCTGAGTGGCCGCAGCCACCCCGAGCAGCCCTCTGGTTGCAGGTGGACCGGGGCGAGTTCCAGCAGGACTCGGTGCTGAAGCAGCTGGAGGTGCTCAGGGAGGAGGAGAAGGAGTTTCAGAACCTGAAGGTGAGGCGGCCTGCAGCCCTGCACTGGCTCTGAGGGCCGGCCCAGACGCCTGCGGAAGAAGGCAGGGCGGGGAGGGCTGAGATCTGGCTGGGGCCAGCAGGGCCATGCTTTAAGGCAGCCACATCCCTGCCGGGACCGAGCTCCCCACCGTCCTCCCGCACATGGCTCCTCACACGTGTCCACAAAATTCCGTGTCCACGCCCTGGCAGGCAGGAGCGCGCCCGCCGTCCAGTGGCCGTGCTGCCCTGATGCAAAGCCCTGGCCTCCCTCCGGGGCCCGCCCACCCCACTGGCTGGGCTCAGAGCCGGGCGTCGGCAGGTCCAGCAGTGTGCCCTCTCGCTCCCGCTCTCGCCTGCCCTCCCCCTCCCGCCCTCGCCCCCAGGACCCCACCAACGGCTACTACAGCGTCAACACCTTCAAGGAGCACCACTCGACCCCCACCATCTCCCTCTCCAGCTGCCAGCCGGACCTGCGGCCGGTGGGCAAGCAGCGCGTGCCCACAGGCATGTCCTTCACCAATATCTACAGCTCCCTGAGCGGCCAGGGCCGCCTCTACGACTACGGGCAGCGGTTCGTGCTGGGGATGGGCAGCTCGTCCATTGAGCTTTGCGAGCGCGAGTTCCAGAGAGGCTCCCTGAGCGACAGCAGCTCCTTCCTGGACACGCAGTGCGACAGCAGCGTCAGCAGCAGCGGCAAGCAGGACGGCTACGTGCAGTTCGACAAGGCCAGTAAAGCGTCCGCCTCGTCCTCCCACCATTCCCAGTCCTCATCCCAGAGCTCCGACCCCAGCCGGCCCCTGCAGCGGCGGATGCAGACTCACGTCTGAGGCCCCCCACGGATGGCGTCGGCCTCATGGGCTCTCCGGGGACAGGGCTCTGCAGTGGCCCCGGGACCAGCCACCTCCGGGCAGCCCCAGTGCACCGCCACAGCCCTCCCTCAAAGCTCTGACGAAGCACAAGCCTGGCCTGGCTGCAGATCCGGGCAGGTGGCAGGGAGACGCAGAGTGGGAGCTGTGTGCCCAGTACTGGCCACCCAGCCCGGCCCTGTCCTGGGGACCCCGCTGCCACCCACTCCTCCCACAGGCGCTAGTGACAGCTGACGCCGCCCCCCCCAACT